GGACTGAATCTTGCAGGACACCATTAGAGCAGAGCTGGATTTCAACACTACCTAAACATTCAAGCCTATGAATTCCTACAGATGCAAAGCCTCCTCACATTACTAGCTGTTGCTGTGAAAAACATGGTTTAATCTGCGTTACTGGCAATTATTTTTGCTAGAAGGTGCTATCTTGCGCATACATTTTCCACACGATCAAAAAATAAATCCTATGGACTCTTGGTATTGCTTGTCTGGAAGTCTGCCAGACAAGCGCTTTCCTACAATTATACACTGTCGTGTCAGCGCGTGGGCTCAGCCACTGCTCAACAAATTTACTAGATAAACCTCCATGATCCAAACAAACAGCACTCAAGTGGCTAACTACCATATATTGGCAGGGAACTGATGAATGTTACTTGAACAATGGAAGAACCCACTTGAATAATGAATTAGGTTTTGGCATATCGACGGACAGATGACTGACAGTCCGTGGCAGTCCATGGCACAACTCCAAAAGAAGAGCTGCGCAGCAGCAAGGGGGGTGCCCTGACCAACCAGCAGCCTTTCAGCATCGTTTGCCCAATACGGGAGGTTTCAGAACCAGAGGTGGCTCAGATGAGGTCATCTCACCTGATTTCAGTAGGAAACAGCATGTCCTATTCTCTCTGTTTAGTAGAATTAAAAGCATAGCAGAGTATCAAGAGGAAGCTACCCACGCTCTCCTTCATCAGCTCGCCCCTGAACAATAACAACTTGGGGTCAAAGTGACAGCAATCACATCTGTTTTCTTTTCCAACCTGCAAATCATCCTGAGTATTTTTAAGATGAAAACAAGAAGTCAGTATTTCAAACCATGAAATTAGAAACTGAATTTTGGAAAGACCTCTCTAGAAATTGCTCCAGTAGCTGGCAAAAATGACCAATTTTCCAGAGAACGTATCCTGTACAATCACCACAACAAATTCTTCTGCTCATACACAAAAACAATTTGCATTAACAAGCCTGTCTTCACCATAATTTAAAACCGGTCACTGAAAAACAATATCTCCCTCACAACCACCTCCTCATTAAATCTGGAAGTAAACAGAAGCCAAAGCAAGCTATGTATATGAGATATAAGTATCTCCCTAAAGCAAGAACAACAAAGCACCCTTTCTCAGCTCTTCTGGAGACGGATGACTAAGAGATTCCTCTAGGACTCGGAAATCCTGAGAAATGGTGAACTATTCAACGTTCACTGACACTCCTGCCTTCAATATCTTGTTCTGACCTTCCACTGCAGGAGGGATCATCCAGTAGAATATACTGGATTTCTGTTATTGCTTTGATGAAGTACACACCGGGTTGGGCCTATTCAGCTGAACAAATAAACTCATGTAAATGCCATATTTATGGGGCTAGACTTGACTCTGCAATCTCCTCAATGTCATTCAGAGTGATTTCACTGTTGCACATGGACAGGGGCAAACCGATTGTCCTGGATGTGCTGAGTTGCAAGATAGTAATGGTGTACAAACCAAAAGTATAATTTTTGCTTCTTTCTTAACACATTCCCTTTTGTGAAAGGCACAAACCCCGCCAGTTTTACATCTACATCCATGGTTGTGCTGCAGAAGCCTAAAACCTGCCTGTGGACTGAGCTGGAGCAAGATGCAGCAGCAGAGACTGAGTTTCTTGCTAGAGGCTGTGAGCTGACAGAAGATAATGGGAGGTTTACAAGAAAGGTCCTTCCTGAATGATAAACAATTCCTGGTTCGTTCAAAGGATCTGACAGACCTACCTATTCATTCTGTTCTGGGCAGAGAGGGGACGCAATGACCTATATCGACACAAAAGGAGCTATAAAAGTCAGACTCTCAATGCATATTCAGCAACTCTAAGCAGTAAATGCAGAATAGGTATTTAAACAATAACCCTCATTAAAACCTTGCTCCCTTGTCACAGGATGCTTTATGTTTGCTATCTTTAGCTTTTCAAGTGTCAAGAAGCAACAGAAAAAAAATATTGCTGAACAGCACTGGACACCAAGAAAAAGCAAGTGAGGCAAAAAGAAATCTGAAGTGAGCTCCACAAGATGAGGTTAAGTTATTCAAAGCTCTCTTTCCTGCAAGACAGTGATGTATTTCAGTCTAAATATCCCACCCGATCCTGTCCTCAGTGAACAAACCAAGTGACAAACTGCCAATCAAACTGAAAAGCATCCCCACTCATCTGGGCTTCCCCCGCCACTGTGCCGCACCAAGCAGGGCTTTATCAGCAGCTACAGAATCTTAATTTGGCTATTTTTAACAAGTATACCATTTTGCAATCCTGCTCACCAGAAGGATTTGCAAATCTCTCCAAGTACTCCTCCCAGGTCCTGATAACTTTGCCAGCAGGAA